CTTTCTGGTATTCTCTGCTCTCAGCCAAAATCCATCTGACATCAGCAATGATATCTCTCCTTCCACGTCCTCTTCTGAACCCAGCTTGAATCTCTGGAAGTTCTCTGTCAATGCATGGTTGCAGCTATTTTTGAATTATCTTTAGCAAAATTTAGCTTGCATAGGATATTAATGATATTGTCCTATGATTTCCACATTCCATTGGGTCACCTGTCTTTGGAATGGGCACAAATATGGATCTTTTCTAGTCAGCCAGGGAGTTGATAATAGATGAATGAGTGCTCCTTGGAAACCTTATACAGGATTGCTATGGGTCAGAATCAACTTGACAGCACTTAACAACAACAAAAAGCGTGGAAGCATGTCTGACTACTGCTTCATAGGAATCAGTCCTGGGCTGATTTTGATTTTGATTGTCTTTCTCCCTTGGGAAGCCAGGGGAAGTCAGACATGGTTCCCATATGGTTTTTGTACAGTAACACTAAATAAATAACTAAAATAGAATCTTTTACAAAAAGTAACTCAAAATGGATCATAGATCTAAAGTAAGATGCAAAACTACACAAATTTTAGAATGTACCATTGGAGAAAATTTAGGTTATTTTGAAAATCTAGAAAATGTAGGATTCCATCATGACCTTTCAGATAAAATACTAAAAGAATGATTTATTTTTTTTAATGTAAGTTGAATTTCATTAAAATTCTATTATTTTACTCTATCAAAGGCACTTTAGTTAAGAGAATCAAATGACAAGCTGACCTTGCAGTTAGCTGTCCAATGCTTACCCAACAAGGTCACAAATGTTGAAGAAAATACTTGTGAAACACATATTTGCAAAGGAGTCATATCCAAAGTATGCAGTAAAATTTAAAACTCAGCAATAAGAAAACAAACAACATTATCACAAATAAAACAATGTGGACACTTCATCAAAGATAAAGAGATGGTAAACAAGCAAAACATATAAAAGATGCTCAACATCTTACTTGTTGCTATTGTTAAGTGCCATGGAGCTAATTCCGACTCATAGCAACCTTGTATAAGGTTTCCCAGGCTATATACCATTTAGAATCAGAAACCCTCATCTTTCTCCTTCAAAGCAGCTGATGGGCTGAAACTGTCTGCCTAGTTGTTCACAGTCCAGTACTTGTTGTATGGAGCCACTGCTCTCCCCTCTTACTTGCTAGGGAATTGCAGATTAAAGGAATAAGATACCATTCATTAGCACATATGTTAGCGTGGCTACAATCCAAAACCCTAACAACACCAAAAGATGAGGAAGATGTGGTGCCACAGCAGCTCTTACTCATTTCTGGAAGGAATACCAGTGGTGCTTTCCCTCTGGAAGGCAGTCTGGTAGTTTCTTACAAAATGAAACATAAACTTACTACACAATGCAGCAATCCCACTTCCAGGTACTTACCCAAATCAGTTTAATGCATCTATTCACATAAACACCTTCACATGAATGTTTTAGCAGCTTTTATTAATAATTGCTAAAATTGAAATAACCAAGATGTCTTTCAGTAGGTGAATGAATAAACAAATAGGTAAAACCTTATAAAAATGTTATTCAGCAACAGATAAAAATAAGCTATTAAGCTATAAAGAGAGGTTGTTGTTATTAAGTGCCATGTAGTCAGTTCTGACTCATAATGACCCTGTGTAGGGTTTCTGAGGAGCAGCTGGTGGGTTTGAACTGCTGGTCTTGTGGTTAGCACTCCAGTGCTTATCCTGCAGCACCACATCTGGACTCCATGAGGAGAGGCAGAAGAACATTAATATTATGTAGCTAAGTGAAAGAAGTTATCTGAAAAGGCATTTATTGGATGATTCCAATTGTATGGTATTATGAAAAAGGCAAAACTATGGCAAAATTAAAAAAAAGAAAAGAAAAAGAAAGAAAGTAAGAGCTAGGGAGGTAAGGAAAGGAATGAATAGGTAGACCATAGGACATTTTTAAGGAATTGAAATTATTCTGTATGATACTGTAATCTGCAATGAAGGACACATAATATTATGTGTTTATCAAAACCCATTGTTGTTGTTGTTGTTATGTGCCCTGGAGTCAGTTCCAACTCATAGCGACCCTGTACAGCGTTTCCAAGGCTGTAAATCTTTATGGGAGCAGAAAGCCTCATCTTTCTCCTGAGGAGCAACTGGTAGTTTTGAACTGCTGACAGTTGGCAGCCTGACTCGTAACCACTATGCTACCAGAACTCCTTAGGACTATTCAAAACAAAAGTGAACTCTAATACCAACTATAAACTTTACTATAGTCAACTATGCCTCCAGCAATCCTATAGGACAGACTAGGGTTTTGAGTCTGTAAATCTTGACAGAAGCATACTACCTCAAATTGCTCCCTCTGAGCAGTTGGTAGGTTCAAATCTCCCACCATTCAGTTACCACTGCTTAACTTACTGTGTCACCAAGTGAGTTAATGCTTAACTCACTGTGTTACCAGGTGAACCAATGCTTAACTCACAATGTCTCCAAGGTTTCTATGATTTATGATGGTGATATTTGTGTGCCATCAAGCCAGTTCCAAACTTATGCAGTTGGGGGTGGTGGTATGCTGTGGAGTCAATTTCAACTTATAGCAACACTTCACAGGGTTTCCGAAGCTGTAAATCTTTATGGGAGCAGAAAGTCTCATCTTTCTCCCATGGAACTGCTGGTAGCTTCAAACTGTTGACTTTATTTAGATAAGCAGCCCGACTTGTAATCACTATGCTATCAGAGACTTTCCAGGGCTGTAAACCTTTAAGGGAACATTGTTGTTGTTAGGTGCTATCAAGTGGGTACCGATTCATAGCGACCCTATGCGCAACAGAAGGAAACACTACCCGATCCTGGGCCCACCTCACAATTGTTGTCACGCTTGAACACATTGATGCTGCCACTTGGCCAATTTATGTCTCTGGGGATCTTCCTCTTTTTCTCTGACCTTCCACCTTACCAAACATGATATCCTTCTCCAGCGACTGGTCCCTTCTGACAGTATGTCCGACATATGAGAAATGACGTTTGGTCATCCTGGCCTTCAAGGAGCACTCTGGCTGCACTTCTCCAAAATGGATCTATTGGTTCTTCTGGCAGCCCATAGCACTTTCAATATTCTCCTCCAATACCATAACTCAAAAGCATCAATTCTTCTACAGTCTTCCTTATTCACTGTCCAGCTTTCACATGCAAATGAGGTTATTGAAAATACCATGGCTTGGGTCAGGGACACCTTAGTCCTCAAGCTGACATCTTTGCTCTTCAACACTTTAAAAGGTCTTGTGCAACTCGTTCGAGCTCTTGACTGCTGCTTCTGTGAGTGTTGATAGTTGATGCAAGAAGAATGAAGTCCTTGATAACTTCAATCTTTTTTGCGTTGATAAGAATGTTATTTATTGGTCCAATAGTGAGGATTTTTGTTTTCTTTACATTGAAATGCAATCCATATTAAAGACTGTGTTCTTTGATCTTCACTAGTAAGTATTTTAAGTCCTCTTCATTTTCAGCAAACAAGGTTGTATCATCTGCATATCACAGGTTGTTAATGAGTCTTCCTCCAATCCTCATTCCATGTTTTTCTTCATATAACCCATCTTCTTGCATTATTTGCTCAGCATACAGGTTGAATAAGTATGGTGAAATAATACAACCCTGTCACAAACATTTCTTAATTTTAAACCATTCAGTGATCCAATGTTCTGTTCAAAACAACTGCTTCTTGGTTCATGTACAGATTCCTCATGAGCACAATTAAGTGTTCAGAATACTCATACTTCTCAATGTTGTCCATAACTTTTCATGATCCACACAATTGAAAGTCTTTGTGTAGTCCATAAAACAAGAGTTAACATCTTTCTGGTATCCTATGCTTTCAGCCAAGATCTGTCGGACATCAGCAATGATACGGGTGCATAGAGACTCATATTTTTCCTGAATTGCTGATCTTGCTGTTACTAATCCATCTCTATATCCATTATGCTATCATGGCTCTTTCCTATGAACTATTTTTGTTGTTGTTGTTGTTGTTAAGTACCATTGAGTCAGCTCTGACTCAGAAATTTTATAGAGAGTTTTCCTGGAGCAACTGGTAGCTTTGAACTACCAACCCTTCAGTCAACAGTCCAGTATTGGTCCTACTGTGCCATACCAGGAGTCATATAGAAATATTGTTGCTTTAAAAAAAAATGTTTTATTGTAAATTGTGTGATAGTTTACATGGGAGAACATTACTTGTACATTCATCCTATTGTATATCGTTTCACTGCCATGGTTACAATCCCCTCCGTGCATCATCAACCCACCAAAGGGTTGGGAAAGCCTGACCATCGGGTCATCAGCACATAGTCCCTCTCCCTTTCTAGGTCTAGAGTCCCCAGCTGCTCCACCTCTCCACATCATCGTCTCTGCCTCCATCTCTGGTGTCACTGTTTCTCTGGGTAGTATCCCACACTCTTCTCCCTTGATGGTCCCAGGGACCTCTGCTCCTGGACTGCAAAGTCAAACACTCCCCTTCTTTTACTACAAAATGTCTACCTTTACATTTCCAATCCTCACAGTCAATCCTGATAGCAGTTATTCACTATTGTACTACAAGGGTCCTATCTGCATCTCCTTTCATCAGCTCCACCCAGACAGATTGGATACAAATGGAGATTCTATCTTTCTCCACACCCTCTGGATCTAGGCTCCCTCTTGAGCTTGTAAATCAGTCACTTATTGCCTTTCTAGCCCTCCCATTTTGGGTAGCCAATGTCGAAGTTGCCCACCCCGTGTATCAAGGGGGTGAGAATGATCCTCGCTGTAAAGATTTGTACTTTCTTTTTGCTGTTGTTTTTAAGTGCAATAGACTTGGCTTGAACTCATACTGACCCTGTACAAGGATTTTGAGGAACGACTATTGTGTTTGGACCACCAACCTTGCAGTTAGCGGTGCAGTGGTTATCCTACTGTACCATACCAGCACTCCATAGTTAGATAGATTTTAAAGATATACCTTGTTCACGTGAACTCGAAGTTGGTGACTCTCAAGCAAGTAAGGAAGTTTGTTGGCGATTTCCATCCATGGCTTATAATGGCTTGGGAGTTCTTTCTGCATTCAAAATAGAAATAGTTCAGTATTCTAGACATCTTTGGCAATCAACTTCAGGAAGTGGCTAGTTTCAGGTTTTAGTTTTTAGAAAGAAATGAAGTCAATTCAGTTTTACAAATATTGATTGAGAATTCACTATATGGTAGTTTCTGCAGTTATACAAATTACTAAAATATAATCCTTATCTTTAAGGAATATGCAGCCTAGTCAGAAGGAAAAACATGCAGTCAGTTATACCTCAATGCAGGATAACATATTCAAGTACTGATGTGTGTATAATATTAGGGATTTGTAAAGGAGAGTATTTTTCTGGTGTGGGGCTGTAGGATAAGCACTTGACTTCATAGTTGATTTGAACCAAAAGATTAGTGGTTCAAACTCACCAGCCACTCCTTGGAAACCCTATACAGGGTCACTATGATTCAGAACTGACTCAATGGCACTTAACAACAACAACAAAGGGGAGAATGTAGTTAATTCTGTCATCATTAGAAGTGAACTTAAGGGTTGTATTCCTGGTCTGGTACTGTAGGATAAGCACTGGACGGCTAACTACAAGATTGGAGGTTCAAACTTACCAGCTGATCCTTGGAAATCCTATACAGGGTGTCTGAGTTGGAACCGATTCTATAGCACTTAACAACAACAACATTTGTTGCCCTACTCCTCCTTATTCAGTGTACAGCCTGCACAATTAAATGTTTCTGGTTTAAAAGATGATAAGGTGAGGATAATTTCTAGATTAATGGATTAGGTGAAAGAACGAATCCGTAGGAACATAAATTGAAACGAAATGCAGGCTGAAGCCACAGCATGGTTTAAAGATAGTGAATTCTTTTTTAAATACACTGATCTTAAACTATCTGGAGAATATAATTGTATGACTGTGTACTGGGCATTTGGATACACAGTTTAAAGATCAAGAAGGAAGTCAGATTAGAAATACTCACATATATTTAGATGCATAATTATAATGAAAAACCCTCATTGTAGTTAAAACCACAAGTACGTATGACGTCTTTCTGGGGATCATGTGAAGTGAAACAAGAAGAAAACCTAGATTGGAACATTGGAGGGTATTTACAAAGCAGGTAGAGGAATGGAAACCAGTAACACAGATCATAAAAACATTTGTAGAGGTTCATTTAGCAAGATCATGAACCCAAAGAGAATTTCACTGAAGTTAGGAATCATCAGGTCAAATGCATCATTCCAAAGTTAAACTAAGATTGTTTCCTATAACAGAAAAGAGTAGAATGTAACTAAAATACCCCAGTCTTTTCTACACACATGGATTAAAAATTAGATCGATGTCAGTGAAGCAAAGTTTAAATTTTGAAGGAAGTAAAATAAAGAGAAGAAATATAGATTACTTTTCTTTCCTCCAAAAAGTTTTGCAACAAGGGGAGGGAAGAAATAAAGTTTTAGGGAAATGCAAATTTGTGTTTGAGAGCTATTTCACTTAGGAATGAAAATTTCAGCAGTCCTGGTGTTGTGCTGGGTCTGCTAAATGCAAGGTTGGCAGTTCAAACCCACCAGCAGTTTGTTGGAAACCCTATACAGGATTTCTATGAATTGGAACAAATTTGACCACACTTACAACAACATTGAGGAACCAGGGAAATTTGAAAATCATAAGTTTGGAGAGATATAAAGCTAAGATTACCCTAAATTACTTGTTGGAAGCCCTCTGGCCCTCAGAACATATGATAAACCCAGGATCTAGTGCCAGGTTAATTATTCTGCAATGTTGTTGTTAGGTATCCTCATTAATAATCACTAAAATGTAAATTTAATTATGAGAAAAATTGCAAAATAATAAAGGCATACATGATATATATGCCATATAAAATTTCTGTAAAAGCACATAAGAAATTATGGAGGGTGGCCATGGCTTGATAAAAGGTTGAGAGTTATGGTACTTTAATTAAGTTTTATGCTTTTTAAATGTCTTTCCATAAGCTTTGACAGGTTTTTAAACTATTATATTTGAGAAATATTCATTTATTGAAGAATTATTTTAATAACATTGGTAGTACCAAAGCAACAATTGAATTGTAGTGCAAATAATGCAATACAAATTATATTTTTAAAACTTAAAATAGAAAGCAATATGGTGCTTCCTCAGAAGGTTGGAAATAGATATACCTTATGATCCAGCAATTCCTCTATTTGGTATTTACCCACAAGAAATACGAGCCATAACATGAGTAGATATATGCACACCAATGTTCATAGCAGCACTATTTACAATAGCAAAAAGATGGAGACAGCCAAAGTGCCCATCAACTGAAAAATCGATAAACAAACTGTAGTACATACACAAAATGGAATATTATGCTACCTTGAAGAATAAGAAGGAAGCTGCAAGTCACCGCATAGCATGGATGAACATTGAGGACATTATGTTGAATGAAATTAATCAGTCACAAAAGAAGAAATACTGCATAGGACCACTAATGTAAAAGACTAAGGAAAAGAACTCATACTAAGGGGGTAGGGTGGGGTGGATTCTTTGCTGGTTGCTGGGATGTGGGGGGTAGGGTGAGGGAAGTGAGGGGAAGGTGGAGCACAGGGTAGAGAATAGACACATGATAGTTTGGGTGCTGGGAAGGGGGCCAATATACAAGAAGGAGAGGGGAATGGAAGAACAAAGCAGATGGGAGAACAATTAGTCAGGTTTGAATGGGCTAAGTGGGACAGAGGTAAAGAATTATGTATTCACAACCTTGGAAAAACAGGGCTCTGGGATACAGAGATTGAGACATGGCTGAAAGGGGGAAAATAATGTTAAGATGCTTGACTGTCTTTTGAATCTTGGTTTCCCTTGTATAGCATTATAAAATAGACACTTGAGGGGAGAGAAAGGAATAGCCAGAAATATCACCATAGAAAACTTGTAAGTCTGTCTTCTGCTTATAACTGGTTGGAATCCCTAAAATAGGGCTACAACGTGACCAATGAAGGAGGCTTCCTGCAGAGCCTCTACATTACATAAGACTATATAGGTGGACTCCTGAATAGCATCCAGAATCTTCAGAGGTGGGAAATTTCCACTTGAAAGGATGGGCAGACCAGCCTGGAACAGCTAGGAGAACAGAAGATACTTCTTGAAAGAAAGACCTAAAGGAAAAATACAAACAATATAGGCAGACCGACTGATTACTATAAGAACAAGCCTGGGAAGTGAGAGAAAAACAGAAATGAAGCTGCGAGCTAAGCCTTACGAAGTTCAATAGACACCTGTGAACCCAGCTGGAGACCTGGTTGTCCAGCAGTTTGGCAAGACCTGGGGACTTTAGGGCCCAGAGTCAGTGACATAGCCACAGAGGACTAGAGTGGAGAGTGAAGAATCAGCTAGTAAGAATCAAAGGCATATGCACAAGAACACCCACTCTTACAGATAATACCCACTTGACCTGGCTTCAATGACTGGATGATTAGAACTCAACTAGAACAAGAAAGAAGAGGGAAAAAAAGAGTAAACTGATACAACTGGATGAACTTGACACACATCTATGGATGCAGTAGTTCAAAAGAGGGAACAAATGTTTACAGCAAGGATCATTCCCACCCCCTCCATAAACAGAGTAGGCAGGAATGGGCAACTTGGACATTAGTTACCCAAAGCCATGGGGCTACAAAGGCTTACAAGCTTTCAAGAGAGAACCTAGATCCAGAGATCATGGAAGAAGGTAGAATCTCCACTGAGTAGTATCCAATCTGTCTAGGTGGGGTTGATGAAAGGAAATGTGGATAGGTCTCTTGTGATACAATAGTGAATAATTGTTATCAGGACTGATTATGAGGGTTGGGAATGTAAAGGTAGACATTTTGTAGCAAGGAGGGGAGTGATTAACTTTTCAGTCTAGGAGCAGAAGTCCCTGGGACCATCAAGGGAGAAGAGCAGAGAGCGGGACCTGACCCAGAGAAGTAGTGATGCCAGAGATGGAGGCAGAGACAATGATGCGGTGAGATGAAGCAGCTGGGGACTTTAGACCCAGAGAGGGAGAGGGACTGTGTGCTAAAGACCGGGGGCGAGCTTGTAGGGTATACCCTTTGGTTGGTTGATGATGCATGGAGGGGATTGTAACCATAGCAATCAAATGATATACAATAGGATGAATGTAAAACTAATGTTCTCCCATGTAAACTACCACATAATTCACAATAAAACATTAAAACAAAAAACTTAAAAGTAAAAAAATGGGTAATGTTCAATGTTTCCAGAAAGAGAACTGGTACTCCCTTTAAATATCTTATATTATAAATCGATTCTTTTTTTTTCCTGTAGGTCAATCAAAAAGTAACTTTCAAATTTTTAAATGTGCAGATTCTTTAATTCAGTAAGTCTACTTCTAGAAACTGGTTCTAAGGAAGTAATCAGAAAATATCTATGAACCCGAACTGACTGAATGGTACTTAACAACAACAAAATATGTGATGCATATTTTTATGAACATATTGAATGTCATTACAGAGATGATGGCATAGGTTATTCAAAATGAATTGTATAACAGGAAATCAAGGATTAATATTCATAGTCTTCAAAAAGTCTCTTTAAAGTGGGTTTTGAGAAAAGCACTATTAGCTATCTCATCTCATGACTTCTGTGATGCTTAGAAAAGGGATGACATTTTGAGAATTAAAGTGAGCCATCTTGGGTTTTTTTCTGTGTCCTGGTTTACATGGAAATTCTTAAATTTTTAAGTCTTAAATTAATTATTAAATTCTGAAATGCTGCATTTTACCTCAGTCTATACTGCTCTCCCATGAAAATTTAAAGCCTCTGATATCCTATAAAGGGTTACTATGATTCAGAACCAATTCGATAGCATTTACCAACAACAGCAACATATTACATTTTATTCTTTAACATCTACTTTTTCCTTTCCCTTAGATTTCTCTCTCTCTCTTCCTATCTTCTCTTTTTCATCCTCTTTCTTTTTAAGAGAGTTCTAATGCTTGTATTTCTGCATAATTCCACAAAACCAAAACTA